GATATGGCGGTGTAGATTATATAGGAAGGCGGTATATAGGTGGGGCTATAGGTGTTGTTAAGACTTGTGTCACTGTACCTCGATATTTCACTTCATATACGAACCCTTGGTACGCGCAGAAATTTACTTAATCTTAACCTCTAGTGGTGTCGCCGGGGGAGCGCCTAACGTGGCCCCTTCGAAGCACGAGCTTCTTCACCTGCACCGTCTTGACCAGCACCAGCACCACTCTCAGCGCGCTGTTGCTACTGCTACTCAAGAAAATCAATATTGAGTCAACGCAATTCCTCCAGTTCTTGTGTCTGCACGCGGTGATAGGCGAGTAGGCAGCGCTTGTTACGGCACGTGCAGGGGTGGTCGTTCCGCACTTATCATAACAAACTCTAAGGCTTTTAGATTCCGCTACCATTTATGCTGAAGATGCCGACAAGTAACAATGCGAGAGATATGCGATTAGAAGACCGAGATCACTATCCTGAATCAACACCGATATTCGAAAAGACCATTTCCTCGGACCCATCTATATACTTGTCACGGTCACCTTCAAGTGACAGAAGATCATCTAGCGCGACCTCTATCATGTCTTCCATATCACTTTGAAGGTAACGAGGGCGGTCATATCTCTCCCATCTCGCCTCTTTCGCAAGCGTTGCATTTTCAACGCTTTTGCTCGAGAAAAATCGAAATCGGACCTTGCGGTATTGCACCGCGATAATTTGCTCCCCTTGGGCAACAAACTGCCGTTGCAAGTCTACCGCACGCCCACTAGACCCGGCCAGTCTAGGATCAGCTAGTTCGCCGAAAGGCACAACAACTCCTGTTGCCAACAGCGCACTAGAGATTGGCATAGCTAGATTACCATCTAGAAGCTTCTGTTCCCTTGATTGCTCCGCAATTCGAGCATCCAAAACAGTGTGGTAGCCAACCACAACATATATATCCTCCCCCTCATCGATAGTACGCTCCACCCACTTCCGGACGTCTTCCGATTTCACGATATCCCGGAACCACTGTCCATTATTGTCCAAGTAATAGGTCTTCACTTGCTTGGTGGTGACGTGGATTGAGGCATTCATACGGCTTGACACGGTGGAGGAGAGGAAGGCGGTAAGCTCAGATCCAAATTTGCGTTGGGCCCTAAGAGAGTCGGCGCCGTTGTACTGGGTTGCAACTTTTTCGATAACATGAAAGTTCTTCTCTGGCCTCGGATCAAGGTAATCTCGGTGAGGCTCATCAATATTGGTGACGAAACGTCCTAGCTTTATAGCGGACGGTGGAAGGAAGAACTGCGGGAGAAGAACGCTCACACGCATTTCGAAGGAATCGGATATTTAGAGTGGTACGAATAGGATAAAGCAGATTGCGTTGCACAAGAGGGAACATTGGGAGAGATAGCTAGCGATGCGGCAGTGTAGGTTAGTCTGTCAAACATTGGCCCACGGGATGGGCCGCGCTCTGACCCCTGCGGCTGAACTTCCTCGCCGTCGGAAGGAGAAAATATGCTGGCCACTACGCTAAACGGTGTCATATGCATAAGCATTGATTGGGAGAGGGTAGGATGACGTGGAATTATTTATTTAGAAAACTCACGGGACACCTCGTCAACTGATTTCATCTACTGCAGGTATCATGCAGTAAACGACAGGCTAGGGCTAAGTCCGGGCGGTAACTACTGGAAAACGAACGCTGCTGCGTACATGTTCAGGCCAAGCCTCTTGACAAATAATCGGCGAAAAAGTGTGGGTTAAAAAAATGGAAAATCGGATGAAGCAAATGCCCGGTCTCAAAGGCATCTCTTACTTCACGTATCTCTAGTGTTTGAGAAATTATCAACCTAATAATCAGACTCGGACGTCGATACGAAAGAATAGGACAGGTGGAGGGCCTCGAAGAGGCGATCCGGGTTTCTCGCCAGGCGGTTGCGGCCACTCCTGATCATTATCCCAGGCTAGTAGGGTTGTTACGCAAGCTCGCATACCAGCTCCAAAGTCGATACGAACGGACAAAACAGATAGATGGCCTACGTGTAGTGGATGCAATCGATTAGCCACGTGTCCCGCCGGGTTTCCAATTCAATAATGCCACGTTATTCTACCCTTCTACCTATTAATGTCTGCGTATATGGAAAAATTTATTGTTGTGTGAGAATTATCGTTGAGTGTGGCGCTGGCGCACCAACACCGGGTAGTGTGTTGGGAGCTTGGCACGGTTAGTATTCGATTTAAAACTGGGCGGGATACCTGGTCAACTGATCGTGTCTATAGGCTGCGGTGAAGTAGGTTGCAATATAGCGCGTAATACGGCAGTAGGAAAATCAAGGCTGTAGGGAGGGCGTACCAGGATCTGACTACTATATAGTCATAGCCTATCTATTTACGCTTCAGGTCTTCTTTTGTAAGTCAGTGAATCTTGATATCTCGTGAATCAAACCTCCTTTTACGCGACATACATCCTGGGCCGTTCAAATTTGAGTTATAACTCCCGGAAGCATGTCTCTCTGCCTTAGCCTCAATTGCACAAATCAACCGCAGAAGGGCTCGTATTATTGCTCCGATTGCAATAATGGTGTGGCCCGAATTGCGTCTTTGCCTAGCTGTGAGAAGGCGTCTTTGCCTAGCTATGAGAATGGTAAGTGCTGAAGGGATTTTCCGGTTATCCGCCGAACTTACACCATTTTACATTTTTGACATTGTGCTAGAGCTAGAAAACTCTACAAATGCATATCGAATGGTCCCGATTTAAACACGCAACGGAACAAATAGCTATGAAATATGTACTGTATCAGTTCTATTTCACAACCGTCAAGCCATTGTGGCCGCTTGGAATTTCGCCACGGTCGCCCGGAGAACCGAAATGCAATCACTAGTTCCCGAAGGGTCTTTTAGGATAAGTTGTGGTTATTTAGGTGGTTGCTGCCTGCTCTTTTGTGTTGTTATTTAGGAGATCTGGTGCCTGCGATGCTACCAATGCCTCTGGTGCTGGCGGAAAAGCGATAGTTATTTCGTCTCTTACGCCTGAATTTTTATCGCGGTTTTTATCGCGAGCCTCAGAAGCCGCCTGTCGTCCATGTTGCATTTCCCGCGCTTTTTCCTAGCAACAACGACGTTTTAGCTCTTAATTATCATATATTCCGATTAGTCACCTTCTTTTACTGTCTAGCTTCCTTCATCTGCCGCTTTGTCTTCATTTCCGCCTCTCGCTACCTTCTCCTCTCCAGAGTAAGCGCTTTCTACTCTGCTGCCTTCTGCTATCGTTCACTATTTTGCCTTTTCTCTGCAAAGCCTCCTCTTTGTTCTGGTTGCCTGGCGCAGGCTTCTTCAGGCGAGCTTGGGCGACTTTTGCTAGACTATATACCTAAGCTACATTAGGATCTATACGGTCGAAGAGATGGTCTTTCAGAGCTTTACCGCGCTACCTACGCTGTCTCTAATTTTCTCAATTGTCTCGCACAGTCCTCGAGTGTTACGAATAGGATAAAGAACACTGCGTGGAACAAGAGGAGATATGAGGAGAGATAGCTGGCGTCGTAGCATAGTGGGTCAAGTTGTCAACTGCGGGATCGGCCGCGCTATGGCCCCTGCGGCTGAACTTCCTGGTCGTCGGTGAACAGGGCCGAGTGATGTCTATATAGTTCCATCGGATGCGTTGTGAAGGCATCAAGAAGAATTAAAAAGACCCCGCCGGGGAAGTGATTTAAGTAGTTCACCATTGCTTGAGATCACACCAGATGAAGAATCTGATGACGGACGAAGGAGGCCACTACGCTTGCTGTTGTCATATGCGCAGAGATTAATTGGGAGAGGGGCAAGTTGACGTGGTATCATTTGATTGGATTCCCCAGCGGGACACCTGGCTAACTGATTGTATCTTCCGCAGCGCAGTAAGCGACAGGGCCATCGAGAAAGCTAGCCTTTTAAATCTGTTTCCACAGGATCTCGGCTGCGTTATTGTGGACGCATGACTATGGACCTAAGTACGGCTTGAGTCCGGGCCATAACTGCTCAAGCCATCAGCGAAGAAGTGTAGTTAAAAGACGGAAAGTTGGATTAAGCAAATGCTTAGTCCCAAAGTCGCCTCTTACACCACGTATCTCCAGAGGATTACGCTTGAGGAAACACCAACCTAGGAAGCAAGCTCAGACGTCGATACAAACGAACAGGACAAATGGACGATCTTGAAGACGCCATCCAGGTGTCTCGCCAGACAGTGGCGGCCACTCCTGATAATTATGCTGATCTTGCAATGTTGTTCAATGACCTCGGAAATAAGCTGCAAAGTCGATACGAACGAACTGGACAGATGAACGACCTCGAAGAGGCCATCCAGTTCTCTCGCCAGGCGGCTGCGGCCACTCCTGATGATCATCCTAACCTTGCGGGGCAATTGAATAACCTCGGAAACAAGTTCGGCTGTCGATACGAACGAACAGGACACATTGGCGACCTAGAAGAGGCAATCCGGCTCTCTCGCCAGGCGGTTGCGGCCACTCCTGATGGACATCCCAACCTTGCGGGGCGATTAAATAGCCTCGGAATCAACCTGAATAGTCGATACGAACGA